GTATGTATGAAAAAAAGAGGAATTATATATCATCTCTCTAAATTGGATTTCCATGGTGCAGCCTGTCTAGAGAGCATTCTCGGGGATATGCTCCCCTAATCGATGTCATCAGACGACTTCCCTTCGACGGCGACACGTCGTTGTCGACGAAGGCGCGTTCCGGACGCGCCGTGGAATCACAATCGAGTCGCGCGTTGACCCCTTTAGGGCCGTCACGCGAAGGGCCGTGTTCACAGGGTCTTAGAACACGCATGTAAGTATTTTGGGGACTCTTCTCGGCCCTGTTATACCATAATCCCTATCGGAAGGGCGATGGCACAACGGAGAGAGACATGGCGTCGAGAACCTAATCGCATTCTTGAACAATCGTGTCGTCTGGCATTATCGTCTTTCTAGAAACGGAATGGAAACAACAAGCGACTCTTTTCTAAGTGTAATATTCATTTAGATGGAGCTCTCGCTAAAAATTCACGTCTTATTGCATTAATATATGTGTACATTATGAATTATTAAATATTATATATATATATTATTTTTTAAAGCGATATAAAGATTATATTTTATAATGTTATTTTGCAAGAAAGTAATTTTATCTCTGATTCGATTATACAAACCGGCATTTGTAAAAACACGTTTGTAAAAGCATATTGCTGAAATTGTTGGTGGAAAAGTTTTATCTAATTTACATTTCACGATTCCCGTGATGTTGATATTGAGAAATAATCGATATTAATTACATTAATCACCAATTTTTCATCAGAATTTTCCATTTCTCTTCCACATACATTTATAACATCAAGATTATTCCTCGCACATTGTATCTCTATTCGAATATTTGCCTTCGTATATTAATTCTATTATTAACCGCGATTGAAATTAAAATGCATTCGCGGAAAACTTGATCGCACGCAATAATCGCAAAGTTTCCACATCTCTTTGTTTTTTTTTTTTTTTGACGTTTGTGTTTGACATTAGATTAAAATGTTACCATTACAACTGATTCTTAAAACCGACTGCAACATAAAAGTTTATTATTATTTATATCTGGAGTTTCCGAGATTTTAATCTGGCGAGAAATATATTCTTAAAATTAAATCGTTACAAGTTCAAGTTTGTTATTGAGAGAAAATCCGATTCATTCCGAATCAAAGCATAATTTTTTCACAATCCACACGCTTTTAATTACAACTCGCGAGTGCCCGTAGAACGCGCAGACCGGAAGTGGTTTCACTTTGTTTAACGATGCGGAACGCACCATACGCACAACCAGCATGCGTCGCATCGTGTTGTCTCGCTACACCGTTTTCATGTTCGCCTGGTGAAAAAATAAAGTTCGTTTTGTATGATCCTTTTTTTTCTCCGGTCCGGTCCCGCAAAATTGATGCTTAATTGTCCGCGCGCTACGACGAGTTGAGCGGCGGGCGATTAATAATTTGTCGCGTCGGTTTTTACACGTCGGATCCATCGCACGTTCAAAGGGTTACGCAACCCTAGACGGACACGTGTCGGCGAGTGGAACAGGGTTTCATGAAGACGGACGAGGTGTTCGGATCGAAGTACGCGGCCCTATAAAGGCGTGTTCGAGAAGCAAAGGGAAGGGGAACACGAGGGGGCGACTAGAGCGAGAGAAAATCTGGCGAAAAATCGAAGATCTATCAGAATACGATCTACGAATTTCTGAACTTATAATCTCATCTTTGAAGTCGATAATTTCTTTTTTTTCTGTTCTTTATAATAATATTTATACATGAACCGTATCTTTAATATTATAAACTCTTCTCCTCTTATCGCTCTATGGGATTGAATTTCACAAAGGCGTCGGATTTATAAATGAATGTGAACTTTATAAATGTACAAAATGCACGCGATCGATTACGAAATTTGGAGAAATACTTTTGTCGTGTCCCGCTTATCCCGCTCGTGTCGGATTCCAATATATATGTATATTTTGATATTTGAAAAATCTCACTTATTGTTTGGACAAAAAGTCAACGGTAACGAAAATCAAAGTTGGCAGCATTATTTACTGTTTGTACGATAAGTTATTTTTCCATGAAACAAAATGTTATTCACTCGGATAACATATCGATTGAAGCAATTAGAATGTTTATATATACATATATTGATTATATATCGATTTTTTTTACGCGAACTACAATTTTATCTAAAATGATTTTGAAAGCAAATCCTCGCTCAATCGACCTACGTCCCGGCAACGCAATACGTTATCTAATGTACATTGCCCAGAATAGACGTTACTGCGAACGATGGCAAATCAACAGTGCAAAGTACAGTCTTTACCGAAATGCATTTGACGCACGTTTCATTAAATAAAAATTTTTGACGCGGAAAGAGGAAAAGAAAATAATTAATGTCTATGTTAAATTTACGTCATATTGATAAATATTTATTCAATAGCATCGCAATTAAACATGCTTAACCAGACGCTTTTAACCAGACGCGACTATTAATAATTAAGTAATCACGTTAATAAATAAAGTCGAGGAAAAACAACGAGCGACTATTTAAATCTAAAAAAAAATAAAGATACGAATAATTGAAGAAATAGGAACTATCTTTTAAGAAAGATTATAACTAGAAAAATAATTATACATATTTCATAATATACGTAAACGAGAGATAAATTACGCTACATAATTATATAACAATATGCGGGGTATAGCATCGTTGCTTCATAAATGTTACATAAAGTGATTAGTCGCGGCCGAGCTCCGATAAATAATTAGCAATTTATACTGAACGGCGCTTTGTATGTGGGTCGCTTTACGTTGCCAGTGACGTTAATCACTTTACGGTTCGACCGAGCCCAAAGGACACCTTGCACAAAGGCGTATGAATGACAGATGGGAATCGCAGGGCGCATGAATGATAGATGGGAATAAATGGATGGGGATTGGATAGGGCAATGTAACAGGGTAGCAAGGGTTGGCAGAAGCGTTTCAAGGGTTCCTTCAAGGTCAAAGGGGGGCGGCGATCTGTCGTTCGTATCATTAAAGACTCGCGTTATACCGTCCGTTGCTGCCCACGCACATGAATAACGCCTTTACGTTCGATCTCCCGCCTCCCTTTTTTGCTATTTATTATCTCGCCATTTTCTTTAGAGCAATATATTATTTATGTAGTTAATCGATGAAATATTTTTCACTGCAATTCGACGAGTTCGTCAAACTCGCATGTATATAATGTCTTAATAATAAATTTGATATTAAAATTATACATGATCGTGGATTTAATATAATTCTAATTTTGCACGAAATATATGTGTAAAATAAATATACTTTGCGTCGTGAGTCTTTGAAAATTCATTGGTCGTAAGATAAGGCTAGCCTCATGGCCAGATGCAGTCGCGCAAGACTCGCGGCAGAATCGGAGCGCGGATCCTGTATCGCGCGCGCTTCGGGGGTTGCAACCCTTCCCCGAACGCGGTCCGCGCGCGGCTGTCATTCATACTTTTCGCGATAATCACGATGCAACAGTCGTACGATTCGGCTACCAAGTCCGCAGAAACGGCCAGGAGTCCCGTTGCCGTCGGCGCGATTTCGCTAGACGTTTCCTGGGCAACGCGAGACGTTTCCTGGGTAACACGCGAGACGTCTCGGGGGTGCGCGGTATTAGGGATTCACGATCGGCTAGGAGGCCGATTTTCAGCGCCGCACGGGGGTGACTCGCGAAGGGGGATGTTTGGGGGATACGCGGGTCTTCGTTTACGCAGGCAGCAGCTCCGTCGGGGTCGATGGCACCCCATAGGGCGGCGCGCCAATTCTATGGCGTGCGTTACCGGCTCTCGACCCAACCCGTATATCGATCGGTTCGATACCTTTTTACGCCGGAAAAGAGCTCTTGTGTCCTGTCCTTGATGTCGGGTCGCTCCGTATCCTGTTACCCGGTGGATTTTGTACAACGAGACTTGTTTTCGTTTAACCGCCGAGATAAATATTTGCGAGAATCTGTCTTAGATAACGCGGTATTTTTTTAGGATTTTTCATACTATTTACATATATATATATATATATTATTTATAAATAATCAACGCTTATTTAATAAAGCGCAATAAATGTGCATATGTGTGTGTAAGAGAAAGAGAGAGAGAAACCGTGAAATTAAATATTTATATAATTATTTAATTTACAATATTACACACATAATATATAATTTTAGTTGCTAATACATCTTTTTCCAACGTCATATACGTTTAATAATATACTATAAATTTCCACAGAATCACAAAGATCTGGATCGTTGCATCTAGTCGGTGCATAAATCATTTTCGTGTACCTTTGACAAATAAAAATCGAACCGGATGCAACAAGGCTCTCTCCTATACGCTGCTCTTGCAAAAATTCTATGATAAAGGCTTCTTTTACGTGCGATTGCGGGAGCCGTACCTTAACAATGCGGAGAACGCTCATCACACTACTTGAGACGGGGAGAAAACGAGGACGACTTTTAACGAGCACTTTAAGTGGCTTTGATCCGGTTTAATTAGCCGCGAGCCGCTGGACCACCGTTGGATTTATCGTCTTGCATTGTCCGGGAAGAAACGTTCTTCCACGAACAGGCGGCTGCCACAAAAAGGGCGGTCCTTTTGAAGACTCTCTCGACGACATCCCGTGGGATTCTGTGAAAACAGTATTTCATTTAATGACTCGTTTCAGACCGCTGTGTTAGTCAAGGACCAACCAACTAGTCGACAAGAGCTTTCTAAATGTTCGGTAATGTTTCGGAGCACGATAGAAAATTGAGGAATTTGATGGAATTATTCAAACTTGGGAAATAATATTGAGTTACTGTATAAATTGCTTTAAAATATTAATTGTCTCTCTGTAAGTATTTATTATAAATATTATATCGCGTATTTTTAATCACATAATTCCCAGTATTCCTGCAACTGCGTACACAAAATAATAAAGCATGCACACGGTTAATGTACAAATATTTTTTAAAGATATTAATTGTGTGAAAAGACAGAGAGACATAAGATAAATTTATTTCTCGCAATAAATTTTTTCGCGACGGTTCGTAAATACGTGACACACAGAAAATTCTGGAAAGACTTATTAGACTGAAATGACCACCTCTTGTTTCCATCTTAAAACCGGATAAAAGCGCTCCGAGAAAGAGAACAGCTGAGCTCCTCCCGGAGTGGGGCGAAAACGCGTGAGATTCACATGGGTCAGCAGAAATTTGAGTGATTAGAGCCGATCAGTAAACCCGGGATCATCGAGGACGCTTGACCGTGACCGTGTCATCGCTTTCACGAGAACATTTCGATATTTCCCTCGTAATCGAGTCGGTTCGATTGGCAGAACGCATTCGCGAGATCGACAGATCGACCCGGGCAAGAATTGTTTTCGGTGCGATTGGAAAATTATCCGATAACGAAGAAAAATATTCAACTTTTAGAAGATTATTTAAATTAAAGTATCTACATTTATAACAGTTAAAATGTTGTTTAAATAAATGTATTAATTACACGCACACTCGAAGATTTTTTAGAAGAATTGAAGAGATATTAAAACGACTCGAGATAACGCTGTCAATTGATGTGTGCGTGATATAAATTTTCGTTTATTCCGAGATGGACGCTTAATATCGAGACCGTTGCCGACACAAGTATTATCACGAGTAGCCTTTACGTCAATTGATTTTTCATTATTATTACTGATATCGCGCGCGACTTACTTACAATAACTGACAGTGACGAATCGTCTCGCCGACGAGACAGACATTTAGAGAGCTCACGAGATCTTTGGACACAGTCAAGAGCCAAGGACGTCGCAACAACGTCTGGAAAAAGTGTTTCTTTCGTCTTCAATCAACCGATATAAAGACCGAGAATCCAAGATCTTCGGATGTGTTTATGTGTGCCGCGTGATCCCTCAAAGAATTACAGTAAAACAATAAAAAAGAAGGTGTTCTAAATCACCTGTAATTAACTTCATCTCGCACGGAAGACGCGTCGAGACGTTAAGAGAGAGACTGTGTTAATCTAATATATATTTTTCATCGACGAAACATTCTTCATTTACTTTCATGCCGATTGTTATATCAAACATTCGGCATGTAATATCTATCATAATACACAAGAAAGCGAGATACACCGTGGGAATCGCTCAAGTTATAAACCGACCGATACAGTGTTAACGCTTGTCAACACGAAGAATATTTCAACATGTTCCTCAACGAGACCCTGTTTGTGCTGGCGTATACTGCCAACATAATGGCCACCTTGCCCGAGAAAACAGATGTGAAAAACGTCAGTATAGCCGAGAATATCACCACCACAACCTTGTCGCCAGAAGAGAAAGAGAACAAATTCGATCTGGACGATCGTAAGTGTCAGCTTTGCTTCTAAAAACTTTGTTTGATCTTTTATTATCCGTTAATGGGCAATAAAAGATAAAAAGAGAATAATGTTTGTTGTTTTTTGCGATAATAAAATAATGTATTATTTTTAAAAATTACATTAAGCTTGTGAGCAAAAAATTAAGATAATAATCATACTCTTCCTTGTCGGAAGGGGATCACCCTAATAAAGAAAATGAGGCTTACTATCCTTACTGTCACGTGCCATCGTATTAATTGCTGATCCGGACACGAAGACAAAACAGAGTTTTCGAGGAACTGATAGAGCTGCGCGCGGAGATATATCGTGAACGTGCCTGATAACCCCTGAGAGAGTAATTCATAGTAGCATTTTCTCGTCGCTCGAAACTCGTTGGTCGATATAGTAAAGGACGGCGAACAAATCAGTTAGATACGTATGTTTATTTGTGACGTATTATCTGTGTCGAAATTTTATATAGGGTAACGCGAAATTCCTAACGAGAAGCTTTGGCCGATTCTTCGATCGGTTTCTTCGAAATTTATGTAGAACATTCTAGATTTCTCTTTTCTTGTTTTTGACGGTTTCTTCAACGCAGTTGATTGAAATGCAAATGGATCGCAAAACTTTGAAATGCGTTGAATAGAATTTTAAATTGTAGTTTACAGGATCTTCTTTGTAAGTTATGCATACCTATTAAAATTTACAAAAATGATAAAAAATAAGAAAGATTTTAAAAATTTTCATAAATATAAAGTACTTCGAGCATGGTGGTTAAATATATGCACATTATTTAATCTAAAAACGTCATCAAAAAATATTTTGTTATTTATAGTATTTTTTATATAATATTGAATTAATTTTAAAAGTATGATAATTTTATATTTCATTTAGAGAATTTAAACATTCATCTTTGAATTAAATATATTAAATTTAGATTTCATTGAATCCTTCAATATAGCCATAAATAAAGAGTGAAAAGATGTTTGTTTAATCAGAATGGTACATGTGGCGATGCTTCGAGCCATACGGTTGCTTCTATATCGGAGCACCCTGGTCCGGAGAAAACCGACCGGTATCCACTTTTCCGGCACGCCCGGACAGCATCAATCCCCGTTATACCCTCTACACGCGCAAACAAGCCGATCAGATCTACGAGTTGAAGATTGATGACTTTGAGACGATCCGGGAGACGCCTTTGAACAAGAAGAACAACTTTTACTTCATCATCCATGGGTTCCTTGATAACGGTGACAAGACTTGGGTTCTGGTGAGCAAAATTTTGAAAGAAAATTCAAATTTTATAGAAATGTAAAAAACACATTATATAAAAAATATTAGAAAGAGAATTAATGAGATATTAATAGATAAAAATTTTTATTTATTTATTAGCTTTTTATTATTCTCAAAAACAAAATATATCATATATTCTCTTTTCATCTGTAAAATCATGTTACCTCTGGAAAGAAATTTGTCGCCTTCTTAATGTGATTGTATATTTATTAACCTAAACATCTTAACCAACTAGAGGACGATGAAGGAACTATTGCTACGAGAGGACTGCAATGTCATGATCGTAAATTGGCTCGCCGGTGCAGGACCACCCTACACGCAGGCCGTGGCCAACACGCGGCTCGTGGGCGCAATGACAGCTCGTCTGGCGGCTCAGCTGATCGAGATCGGTGAGGTACCGTCCTCGAGGATGCACTGCATCGGACATAGCTTGGGCGCCCACACTTGTGGCTACGTCGGCTACACCTTGAGCAATCGATATGGCTACAAGCTTGGTCGGATTACAGGTACAATCAAATAATCATAGTGCATAATTTTTGGCGCGAATCTCGAGAAGAGCGAGAAAATCTAAACATCTGTCAATTCTTTTCGAACTCTCCGAGAACTCATGCATCGCGAACAATTCGTAAGCAAAACCTTACATGATCCGTAAGCGAAATTAAAGAAATGATTAAATAATCTCTTCAAAAATTACATGCGCAATAAGTAATATTTTTACGCGAGCGATTGCGACAGAAGAATATGTCGAGAGTCTCTTTATGCGAGGCTTAAGAAGATGCGTGCGTAACGCAGGAAAGCGTGAGATGAGGAAGAAAATAAACTTAGTGAAATGAGTGAGAGAAGTATGTAAATTTGCAAAAGAAATGCGACGTAACAAACGTGCGCGCACAAACACACACATGCCTTTCTTTTTCTCCTTTCTCTCATTTTTCTGACGATCAATGTCGGAGCCGGTCGTTTGTCCCCTCTTGCAGTCGCAACAGCTCGGAGCATTACGAAGATAGCCGATTGAATCGCAGATGATCAGGATAGCAGTTGTCGCAGGAGTATCTCGCTCGAAAAAGTTGGACGAGTTGGTCCCGATGATTTATTAATCTTGATAAAAAAAAAAAAATTAATTGTGATAATAATGATGGAAAATTTGATATCTCTTTTTCGCACTCTCTCTCTCTGTATATATAACTTTATCTTTTAATTTTTTTAAACCTGAAGTCGAAAAGAAAGATTTTTCGTTTTGTTATTTTATTTTTATAGCGTATAGGAGATAAGAAAAAAAATAACAATAGCCACGATTAACAAAAAATGGATGTATGTAGAGAAAGAATAAAAAAAAATGTTTACCTTAATATTTATTCGGTTACATCGCGTACACGTATAACATACGTTCGTTTCAACTTTCTATCGGAGTCTTCATTACACGAGTTTATCATTTAAAGGATCGGTGAAATTTTTGCAAACGTAACGAGCAAAGACTCGAAAAGAGCGAAGAACGACAATACGATTCGCTGCAGCAGGCAAGTAGAGAACGAGCGATCGTAAAAGCAACGATCGTAAAATACTTTCGTTGTACTTTCCTGCGTGACTCGTGCCATCGATGGATTTATGTAACGTGCGATATCGCACAAAGATTCGTCGGCACTCGTTTAACGATTCGCCATAACATGCGAAAATTAAGGGAATCGTAAGTTCGGAGTATAAATAGTCGGCTGGAACGATTATTTCCATTCTCTCCTACACGTGACTTAGACTAGCGCGCCTACTTATTACATAATTGACAACAAAACGCAAGAGCGCGTTCAGGGAAGGAGCTTCGCGAAATTCCTCCGTTCCTCCCGTCGCAATCGATGGAATCGAACGCGCCCGATTGGAGGTGGACGGGTTTGGTCGTTACGTAAGCTATCGATCCCATCGGGAACTACCAGGATAACAGAAGGAAACGCGAAGTGTGTTAACAAGGACGACGGCGGGGTTTATAATCGTCATGGCCGCGAAGCGAGATCGCAGAATTCGCCGAGGGCTGGCGAATCGACGCCTTCTCTCCGCCTCGGCGCTTACCCCTTGGCGAAGAGAAACATCCCCTAACAAAGGGGAGAAATGAGGGATACCTATCTCGGTATACAGAAGCAGGACGTTCATCAAGGATGGAGACGAGGAAGACGTGTTCCTGGACGTTCGTCCGGAGACGAGATTGCGGTAAACAACCGGAATAAGAGAACACGTTGTCCCAAGAAGTGGCAGAGGAGGATAGCAGGAGAATAGGCCTCGTGTCTCCGAACAAGGACGAGGAAAATAATGGGATATTATTAGCTGCAGGCTGATAAATAAGTAAGAGAAAATTATCGAATCGTTCGCCGTCGAGTCATCGTCTCGTATAAACGAATTTCTTTTATACGCTGACTGAGTATCTTCAGTAAAGTATGCCCGAAAATTTTAAGGAGAATATTCATCCGAAGAACGCACTGACGCGAAAGCGTGAATGTAATGAACGACTTTCTTTCGCGAATTATTAATTTATTGTTTCTCAGCAAACCGCAAAATAACTTCCGCCTTTACGCAATACGATAATACGGTATTATACGGCGGAACGTTTACCGATAACCCTTACATGAGACAAACCGTGCATATGTTTTGTATGTCGGACAAGACGTGTATAGCTATTAAGATTTGTAAAGAGTTATATGTCATTTCTGAGACGTAGTTCTATGATAGCCTTCGATTTTTATTCGAGACATTGATTCAGAATTCTTGTCGTGACAGTCACGTAACGATTGTTATTGCTGACTTATTGCATTAACATCGCTTTTCGTTCATTGAGGATATATTGATAATTAATTGAAGACACAAAAGATGCAAGACACGAAAATACAAGTCGATCTTTTCGCATGTGTCGTGAAATTTGCTTAAAAGAAAAAGAAAGTATAAAACAGGATAAAATTGTCTGTTAAAGAAGCTCTAGATGTTCCTTTCTTTCGATATCTGATTTTCCTTTTTTTACACATTTATTTTAAATTCTCATCTACATTCGTGCATCGAACGATCGTCGAAAAACAATGTTCGCTAATGTTTCTCGTCGCAATTTTACTCACAAGGTCTTGATCCGGCGGAACCACACTTCAGCAACACCTCAACAATGGTCCGGCTGGACCCAACGGATGCAACATTCGTGACATCCATTCACACAGATTGCAATCCTTTTATCAGCGGCGGCCTCGGCATTACGCAACCGGTAGCGCACATCGATTTCTATCCGAACGGTGGCCGCAACCAGCCCGGCTGTAACGAGGGTGTACTCAATTCCATCACCTTGGAACGCGGCAGTTTTTTTCTTTTCGTTTAACCGCCGAGATAAATATTTGCGAGAATCTGTCTTAGATAACGCGGTATTTTTTTAGGATTTTTCATACTATTTACATATATATATATATATATTATTTATAAATAATCAACGCTTATTTAATAAAGCGCAATAAATGTGCATATGTGTGTGTAAGAGAAAGAGAGAGAGAAACCGTGAAATTAAATATTTATATAATTATTTAATTTACAATATTACACACATAATATATAATTTTAGTTGCTAATACATCTTTTTCCAACGTCATATACGTTTAATAATATACTATAAATTTCCACAGAATCACAAAGATCTGGATCGTTGCATCTAGTCGGTGCATAAATCATTTTCGTGTACCTTTGACAAATAAAAATCGAACCGGATGCAACAAGGCTCTCTCCTATACGCTGCTCTTGCAAAAATTCTATGATAAAGGCTTCTTTTACGTGCGATTGCGGGAGCCGTACCTTAACAATGCGGAGAACGCTCATCACACTACTTGAGACGGGGAGAAAACGAGGACGACTTTTAACGAGCACTTTAAGTGGCTTTGATCCGGTTTAATTAGCCGCGAGCCGCTGGACCACCGTTGGATTTATCGTCTTGCATTGTTATATATATATATATATGAAAGTGAAGAGAAATTAATGAGAGATTAAAACACTTTTTTAAGGAATCAAAAGATTTCTGGGATGCAACCATATCCGCAGTTATGAATACTTTATCGAGAGCATAAACAGCCCATGCCCGTTCTTAGCTGTGCCGTGTAACTCTTGGGATAAGTTCCAGGAGGGCAGTTGTTTCGATTGCGTAAACCAATATTGTCCCAGATTCGGACTGGACGCTCAGCCCGGAAACTATCACGCTGCCGTATATCTCATGACCGGACGTGACAGGCCGTTTTGCAGTTAGTAATGGCTCATTTATATTATTATAGAATTTAAATCACTACACATATGCGTGCGCGAATCGCTTATATTTTTGGTCGCATCGAGCTAAATGAATTAAGACTGTCAAAGATTGTAACAGCTGTAATTAATATCACGAAATTGATTACTCATTTTCGAAATTTTGTAAAAAGTATTTAATATATAATGTGAAGAAGAGGAAGCGTATAAAAATATTTTGTAGCTATATTATCGCAGAAAAATACAGATATATAATATATTTAATTTCCTAATGACTGCAGAGGGCCACTACAAGGTGACGATAAATATCTCCAAGACAGATGAGAGTTTGTTATATGGCGGGGAGGTCGGGATGTTTGTCGTGCGCGCGATTGGCTCGAATGGCAAGAAAACCGAGAAGATGCAGTTGAGCTCGGCCTCGAAATACTACGAGCCTGGTAGTACGCACACGATCGTATTACCCGGAGACATCGTGGGCAAACCAAACTCGGTCGAGATCACCTGGGAATATCAGACCTCGGTCTTCAACCCGCTCACGTGGAGGCTGCTTCACACACCGCGGGCCTACATCGACTCGTTGACCATCAAAAGTCTGGAAACTCTCTCTGATCATGAGTAAGAATTTTACGTATCTCTTACCTCGCGATTTTCATTTCGCTGATGTAATATTTCTAGCGGAAAGCGCCTGATTACCCGAGATCCTTGAACACGCGAAATCCATATACACGCGATGTCCTTGCGACAAGTTTTAGAAAGTCATAAATATTTTAATTGCATATAATTTTTCATTGCTACTGATAAGCACATTTCACGCGTAAATTATTGCAAATATATCATTTAAATAGTGTTTTGTTCAAAAAAGAAATATTATTTGAAAATTTATTTTTTCCTTACAAATGCGTAGGAAATATTTGTGCATAAATTAACATTATCAAAAAATATATAGCCTAAATCTATTTATATTTTACTTCAAATATTATTTTTCGTGTTTTTATAATTCCTTGTGTTTTTATAATTTCTTATAACTTTATTGCTTCATAATTCGTTTTCTATGCAATCGGCGCATTGTGCATCTTTATTACATTCGAGTGTTTCGACAGCGACATTTGAAATGAAAAGGAAAAAGTACTTACTAATCAGAATGAATAGACAAACGAACCATTGACATTTAAAGAGACGTAGACATAAAGAGACGCACATACATCACAAATAATTATACAATAGTTAAGTAATCGACTCTTACGCGCATTGCGTAAATTCATCCTCCGCTTTTCCTGTTTTTCAGAATCACCCTGTGTCCGGATAATACAAAAACACTGATAGCGAACCAGCCAAAGATCCTGACCGTGGAAAACTGCCGCAATGTGGAACACAACACGATCTCCACGTAAAGAATCAATCCCCACACGTGCTTTCTCGTAATCAAAGATTAGATCTCGCTGCTTGAAACCGGTATAATTTTTCGACAGGTTTCGACACTACAGATGAGAGTGATCTCTATACTTATCCGCGGAAATTAGCATAAAATGAATTTTATATTGTCCGCGTAATAAGAAAGTTCAAATCACCGAAATTATACTATAGTTTCAAATCGATGCTCGCGACGAAATCGATGACAAAGGCTGATGACCCTGCTCGTTATTGCGAAATAATACTCGTTGACTGTCATTTGCGCGAAGAAATTTTGAAAGTTCTAAAGTCAATTATCTGCTTTTGTAAAAATTATAGAGAGTAAAAAAATATCCTTTCATTTGACACGATGTTTCAATATCGACTGAAAGATCGTTGTATAACGTAGAATTGTAGAAATAATCAGCGTCGTTTGGACGACGCCTACAATTTTCACAAGACTTTTAACTTTTATACAGAATGACAGTTAATCTCCGGAAACTCTAGCGTTTCCGATTCGATCCAAGTTGTTCATTTTGCGACTGTCATAGGTGAACAGCCGATCGCCGAGCGAGGCGAACGCGCGCGAATCACGCATAATAGCGCCGGTTTCCCTCGCAACCAATGGCAAAGTCACGATCCTTTCACTGTCATTATGTGCCTGGGGTCTCTTTTTCTTTCTCTCTCTTTCTTTCTCTCTCTTTTCCTCCTTCGCTCCGACATTCGCTTTCATGCGACGCTGTCGTCGTCGTCGCACCGATAAATTGCCGCTGACCCCATAATTTATGTTTATAAGTGCATCAATACCACTTTGTTCGGCCGTGAGGGACTAATCTAATGACGATAATGGCGTAACTAATGACACTTGATGACGCGATGAACATTTTGATGTCTCGACGCGAAGAAAAGAAAGAGAAAGGAATTAAACTTTCGAGTGCAAGAAATAATGCATCGTATTCGCGAATTCGACGAAGGACGCGATAATATTATATAATGAGTGTTTGTTTGTTCCGTTACAATGAGCCGTTATAACATTCTGGTAATTTCGCAATTTCTTTTGCCGCGCAGCGAATTGCGAAACGCGAGGTGGGCGCAACGCGATTTTTGTGTGTCCCAAAATAGTTATAAAGAGTTCACGAAGAGTCCTACGAATCAGCTGATTTGACCCCTTCGATTCCTTTAGACTTGGATTTGGCTTTTATTCTCAGAGAGAAAGAGAGAGAGAGAGAGAGAGAGAAAGATTTCATAATCGATAGATTTAGCATAGCGTTTTTCCCGTGATGTAAGAAGTAAGATCTGAGGATTTCTAAGTTAAGCTCAATGAGCTAAGTTGCGGAGAGTTTAATTCGATATAAGAATTATTTAATTTCTAAGTAACGCATATTTATATACAAATAATTAATTACTCGGCATATATATGATAAACTCGCAAGCGATTCAATTAAGAGAGTTATTGTTAATTGCGAATGTACATATACAAAATACAGTTCTTTAACATAACATTTATCCATAAATTATTTCATTCGCCACGTGGCCTGAGTATCCAATTAATCAAAACAAGCGCGTGTCGATATTCTATCAGAACGAGAGACGGAAACTTGAAATAAGAGAGCTAGCGTGTGTGTGTGTCAGAAAAAAAATAAGAAACAAAATTAACGACCGAGAAAATACAAGTTATATATGCGGAAAATATCAGAATATTCAAAGTCATTATTACGACGCTTGTTTCCGCATTCATCTCACGTTTCCGTTGCACCGTCATCTACGTCCGGCTCATTTTATTTCTGATTGAAACCTCTTGATAATCTCTCAGAGTTCTTTGACGAGGTCCGAAACTAACGGGGATCTTGTAATGCCCACACAGAGCCAATCGTTGGCTTAGATCAAGAATCGACGGATCCCTACAGGAGTATCCCCGAATCAACCCACCGACACCAGGTAACTCCTAGTCGAGAACTCGAAACAACAGTGGTGGGCAGGTATTCCGGAGCAAGTGGAATATCCGCTGCGTGCATTCGAAGCAGTCGTGCGCCAGCCTCTCACCGCGACACATTTCGTTCCCTCCCTCGGTTCAGCTCTTCCCTCGTCTCTCTCTCTCTCGAGAGAGTGCAGTTCTTGAAAACAGCCACGACGGTTCGCACGTTTTCTGCTCTGCGCAGAACGAATTCTCCGCAGAGACGAAGCCGCAGAGGGTGGTCCGTTGGAGGGTGTACGTAAATCTTGCGCACGCCGAGGGAATCACGTGGATATACGCGATCAACGACTGCGTGGGAAATTCTGCGATGGATTGGTAGACGGCGGGACGTCCACGTGACATGAGAGAGCGGCTTCGAAAATGTGAGTTGATCGTGCGAATGCGTCATCCGATGCATCGCGTGAGCATAGAATTGAATGCACTCAACGTATGATAAAAAAAGAACTTGACCTTCACGTAAGATTAAACGACAATAGTGCACGCACAAAGTAGACGATTCAAATTAGTTTTTAATAGCTGTGATATTTGAAAAAAAAAGAAAAAGAGAAAAAAAGAGAATGTAAGTTTTAGCGTCACGTTTATTCATATGCGACAATTGAAAATTAAAAAAAGAGAATTGAATTTTTTTGAAATTATATATATTATATTTCTTCGCCTGACGTAATCTAGAAATCTACAGGAATGTTTTTTCCTCTAGCTATGCATATCCAGCCGACGCGAAAGCAGACTATGTCACTGCTCTCACGACCTTGATAAAATAATAGCCGCGGAATTAAAGAAACGATTCAACGCGAGATGCTCGAGACGAGTTAAAAAATCTGAATCATTTGCAAAAAGAAAAGTTGTCGTAATTCCTCGTAGCGCGACGCAACATTTGTCACGCTTACTTTTTCTTGACATTTAATCGCTCGTGTCGCGTTAGAAAACGCCGTTTGTGCGATGCGAGTCGTTCGCAATACAATTCTTGATTCAAGCCACGTGCTGGGAATCACGACACGTTCAACCGATTCGCTTTTCAAGCGACGCTGCAATCGTCGTCGATTGCGTGCCCTCGATGCCCAAAATTTCCCTCCTTTCGACACTTCTCTCGACGCTTCTTTCGACACTTATCATTAGAGTTTTTTTGATATACAAGATACTAGAACATTCTTTTTTTAGACAAGTATTTGACAACCCATTTTTTAATTTCGACACAAAAGCGTTACGCGTTTTGAAAAATATTTCGAGGTAGCAACTTTATGGAATAAATATCCCGAATTGCGAGGATCAAGCATTTTGTCGAGGCATTCGGTCAAGGGTTTCGGAAATACACGCGCGGCGGGAAAAAAAAAAACAGGCGGCTATATAGACAGACAAGTTATAGACGCGCCAACTTTCTCCGGAGACAAGCCCGCGTAGCATACGTAGGCGTGAGCTACGTGAACCTGCCACCGTTTTACCGAACCGATCCAACCGAGTTCGAGTGTAAATTGACAATAGCGACGACCAATCTATTCCACGATTTCTGACAAGAAAGTCCGAGGTCATGCGAAAATCCCGATCGCTGAATTTGCTCGTACTATCGATCAATTAGCTGCCTTTAATCATACGGCTTGCAAAAACGTGCCGCGCTAAATCGCCTTCTTTTTTTCTGCGCTTGAAAAATAATTACGGCTTGCGCGATATATCATTTAATTAACGTTAAACGTTCCGCCGTACCTCCGCGTTTGCTACAGCACGCTCGCAGAGATTGATCCACTCTCGTCGCTTTCATCCTCGCCAGCTCCGCGATGAAAGTTCTAGAGAGAATCTGAGAAAAATCTCCTCGTGTATCTGAAATATTTTAACGACATGGTGAAAAATGTTGTTTAAATGAAAAAATCTACGACGACATTTGAAAATTCCTGGAAGAGGAAAGTTGTATTTTATCGCATTGTAATAATTCATATGCTAATAATTTCGGTCTTGCATGCACTTTCGATCCGCGCGACGTGGGAGTATTTTCAGAAAAGAGAAGGTAGTTTCTCGAAAAAAATACCGAGGATGCAACGGCACGAAGGAGGAAGTCGACGGCGAAGAATGCAGGCGCGAGATGCACCGAAGCGTGCATCTGGCTGAGGAGAACGCTGCGCGAGACCCCAATCATTTAGGGAGATTATCTTCGCCGTTATCTGGGAAAATGATCGCAGCCTCTCATTCTGCGAGCGTTGCTTCCTCATCGGGTAGAGAAATATCCTGTACGGAGTCGACCTTGCTGTTTCATCGCGAGGAGTCTACAATTTCGCAGCTATTTGATTATTGCTATTTGCAATTCAATATTCAGTGGTTCTCCAAAAGCATCCGATAAAAGTACTCCAGTAGATGAAGTATGTTTTTTGAGGACAATTGGAAATCACATTTCTTTATTGGATATATCAAGTGCTGAGAATTAAAGTAAACTTTAGACAATCTATAATTTGCGACACAAATTTATTTATAATTTTATTTGTCGTATAATACAGAAAAAATTAAAGTGCACGTATTTTATCGAAATAGATCAAAGTACACGCATATATTAGAAAATACGGTATATAAAATTATAAATAGATTTCTCGGATTTTGTCGCGAATTATGAAACCAGCGGGTTTAAGAAAAAAATGTCACTTGGTAAAATTATTACCTAATTATCATTATTATCATTATTGCAATTTCTCGTTATCTCGATTTTTTGCTTCTAAATTTAATCTAAATTTATTATGACTATAAAACGCGCGCGCGTAGAGAGAGATATTTAATTCAATTATATCATTCGAAATTGAACGTATTTGCCACGAGTTCAGAACAAGGAATTAATTCGTCTTTGCCTTAATAAATAATTTCGTTTCTTATACACGGGAGACGAGTATAAAATTTTAAAACCCATTTTTATCGCGCGAAATGTGAATATTATCGCAAGAGAGGCTGTGCGATAATAACAGTGATGCTGTAAAAGAAAAAACGAATGTGTCACTTCATCGTTGCATAACATGGTGCAGCCGCGAATGTTGCAAGAGATGGATCTTTTCGTAAGTCAATACGTTATCTGTCGTCGCGTCATCACAAATGGCGTTTGCAAAGCGAAACATACATACTTACGCAACGAAAGAGAATGCGTACATATATATGCACATAGTCTTTCCGCGACCGTACTTCCGTAAGAAAACGTGATCTCCCCATGAAATCACGCAAAAGTGTCGAACCACATTGAACGAAACGAATGTTGCTCGAAAACCGTAAAAACGGTGATGCCGGTATACGGCATATTAACGACTTGGCTCGCCGCACTCGGGAAACGTGTGTGTGTATTATAAATTATCACTTGCACGTAGCGGACTCGATAGAAAAATGCAACCGGAAAAGGAGCTGGCACGCGGACGATCTGATCGGATGTTTTCTTGGCGCAAAGAAATCTTTCGGATTGAAATTTCCGAAGCTCTCGGGATAACAGAAATTGCGCGCAAAAATTTTTCAGACAAAAATCATATAGTAGATTCTGTCAAAAATATACATATTCTTCTAAATTTAAAAAATTTTTTTAAAAATAATATAAATTGTGGGATATATGTACACGCGACTGTGTAGGAACCAGAGTGTGAAATGCAATTTTCTCTCGCTGTCTCCTTTTACGCTACGTCGATTTCGCGTTACCTTCCTTATTCTATCATCACACCGGTTCCTCACCTAATCATCTTAACAACCGGTTATTTACTTCTCACGAAGATTTACAGGTCTATTTGCGCGTGTTATTTCGTCTCGCTCTTTCCCGTACACATTCGATCTCGCGACATTGAAGTGTAAAATCAAGATAATCACCGTCGAGGGGGAGGCGATGCGACGCAACGCGTCGATCGTCGCCGTGTACGTGTGAGGCGGAGAAACGTTGATCGAAAAAAAATCACGCGCGCAAAACGAGCACATGGCTCGCGCGAGTCATTACGTAGAAACTCGACGGCGGGTCGGCGCTGCAACTTTCGCGATCGCATCGCCTCGTGCATCGGTGCATCTGCATTCTCGTTGCAGAGAGGCGCATCATCTCTCGCTTCCGCGTCCGGCCACGGATCTCCCGTTAGAACGGAATTGCGGCGCGCGCATGCCGCAATTAGAGGCGCATATATTGCGTCGGTGAGACGATACATCATTCGTTCATTCAAGAACCGGATAAGTAATCTCGTCGTCTTTATCGTTAATATGATAAACGATTTCAATTTCGTGCTAATTGCGAACTAACGAAGCAATAGGATAATCTCTTCCGGATAGATTATCCTGTTATCGTCTTTGAAGCATTATACATATTCACGCAATAGTCAGAGATGAGCAAATTAGTATTTTAAATAAAAATAAAAATGTTTTTTTACATTAATTTTTTACATTATTATATCTCTCTCCTCTCAAATTATAAATAGATTATGTTAAATAAATAATTCACTTTTGTATTAATTGAAATTCTATTTGAAATATTTAATTAAGAGGATTTACGAATCAAAAATAAATATTTGAGAAATATATATTTTTGAAAAATATTTTATTTAAACGCGGAACACAGACTATTTAAATGATTATTTTCAATAGTATGTATTTGAAATATGCCCATCGCTGATAATGATATACGATATAATGTTACGCAGTTAATAAAATAGCAGTTTTGCCGCACCTCATATGGCTAATTGTTAAGGAAATTATCTTAAACGTTCAGGTAATTAGCTATTATACTGGGCGTTTTGTGGAGAAGTCATATTGTCATTTAGCTTCCGCTAAACCGCAGATGTTGAAACCGCAAACTAGGAAAATGAAGCGATTGCTCAATTCCGACACTTCTATCGTCCAAGTACCGTACGCGAATGTCACGACATTGAATTTCCGCAGTGTATCTCACGGGTCGTAGGTGAAATCGTGATGGAACAATCGCAGCGCGTTGATTTATCGATGAAATTAAAAGACGTGAACAGGAAATCGCGATGGCCCCTCGTATTAGAAAGTAATTAATATGACGGGAAAACTGGTTTACAATGAATAGACTGCAGCATGCTTAATTGCAATTATACCGGAGAAAATTTCATGTCAAAAGCGAAAGATTTATTTACTTGTTTTAATTCACATGTGCAAGAATGTGTTTCAAGGTACAAAATCCATTAAATCAGCATTTATTTTATCTTTACAATTTAATTTATCTTTTTAGATAGATTGCACCGAATTTATATAAAAGTACAGATTTTTGTAAAATTAAAATTTTATATCGTAGATATTTCAAAAATATATGAATTTGCGTTAACTATCTTTCGCAAAAATTGTTCAATTACGCGAAAAATGCGATTTTAAACATACTGGATGTGACTGCAAGAAGAAAAGAACTTGTTTTCCGCAAATT